CTGAAGGCAGGTCACAGTAGGTTTCTAAGTAGGACACACTTTCAGAGGCTCAAAATTGCTGTAATTCACTTTTTTTTTTTTTTTTTTTTGAGACGGAGTTTCGCTCTTGTTACCCAGGCTGGAGTGCAATGGCGTGATCTTGGCTCACCGCAACCTCTGTCTCCTGGGTTCAGGCAATTCTCCTGCCTCAGCCTCCTGAGTAGCTGGGATTACAGGCACGCGCCACCATGCCCAGCTAATTTTTGGTATTTTTTTTTTAAGTAGAGACGGGGTTTCACCATGTTGACCAGGATGGTCTCGATTTCTTGACCTTGTGATCCACCTGCCTCAGCCTCCCGAAGTGCTGGGATTACAGGCTTGAGCCACCGCCCCCGGCCCGCTATAATTCACTTACTTTGAATGTGTACTATGTCCATGTCACCAAAAATAAAAATATGGGCTGGGCACAGTGGCTCATGCCTCTAATCTCAACACTTTGGGAGGCCAAAGCAGGGAGGATTGCTTGAGGCCAGGAGTTTGAGGCCAGCCTGGGTAACATAGTGAGACCCTGTCTCTGCAAAACATAAAAATTAAAAAATTAGTTGGGGCCAGGCACGGTGGCCTGCACATGTAATCCCAGCACTTTGGGATGCCGAGGCGGGCAGATCACCTGAGGTCAGAAGTTCGAGGGCAGCTTGGCCAACAAGATGAAACCCCTTTCTACTAAAAACACAAAAATTAGCAGGGTGTGGTGGCACACAGCTGTAATCCCAGCACTTTGGGAGGCTGAGGCAGGAGAATTGCTTGAAGCTGGGAGGTGGAGGTTGCAGTGAGCTGAGATTGCACAATTATACTCCAGCCTGTGCAACAGAGTGAGACTTTGTCTCAAAAAAAAAAAAATTTAGTTGGGTTGATGATTTGCACCTGTAGTCCCGGCTACCTGGGAGGCTGAGATGGGAGGACCCCTTGAACCCAGGAGTTCAAGGCTGCAGTGAGCTGTGATTGTGCCACTGCACTCCCTCCTGGGTGACAGAGTGAGACCCTACCTCTCCCCCCGACACACGTAAAATTGTACTCAGTGAGGAATTCTACCCACTCCCCTATTCTCTTCTTCATGGTTACTGGTTCTTGAGTGTCCTTCCTGAATTCCTTTATTCATATGCAAGAAATCTTTTTATTTTCTTCTTTACAATCTATAGATAGCATAGTCTAGGCCCTGTCCTGCAACAGTTTTGTTTTTTAACTTACCCTCTTTTTAACATCTTTCTGAGGCCGGGCACAGTGGCTCATGCCTGTAATCCCAGAACTTTGGGAGGCCGAGGTGGGTGGATCACGAGGTGAGGAGTTCGAGACCAGCCTGACCAACATGGTGAAACCCTGTCTCTACTAAAAATACAAAAATTAGCCGGTTGGTGGCAGGCACCTGTAATCCCAGCTACTCAAGAGGCTGAGGCAGGAGAATTGCTTGAACCTAAGAGGTAGAGGTTGCAGTGAGCTGAGATGGCACCATTACACTCCAGCCTGGCGACAGAACAAGACTCCATTAAAAAAAAAAAAGAAAAGAAAAATATTTCCACTTTAGCACCATTGTGGATGGACTTTTGGGTCATTTCAAATCTTGCTTTTCCATAGAATGCTACAAAGAATTATGTCCTTACGTCGTTTTGCACATGTACAAATGTATCTTTAAGGTAAATTCCCAGAAGTGAAGTTACTGAGCCAAAAGGCATATGCTTTTTTTTTTTTTCAGACAGAGTTTCACTCTTGTTGCCCAGGCTGGAGTGCCATGGCGTGATCTTGGCTCACTGCAACCTCCACCTCCCAGGTTCAAGTGATTCTGCTGCCTCAGCCTCCTGAGTAGCTGGGATTGCAGACATGCGCCACCATACCGGGCTAATTTTGTATTTTTAGTAGAGACAGGGTTTTACTCTGTTGGCCAGGCTGGTTTCAAACCTCTGACTTCAGGTGATCCTCCCGCCTCGGCCTCCCAAAGTGCTGGGATTACAGGCATGAGCCACTGTGCCCGGCCAGTGTATGCATTTGTAATTTTGATAGATGCAGCCACACCACACTCCTTAGGGGTGGTGCCCATTGACACTTCCACAAGCAAAGTGTGAGAGTGATCATTTGGGACAGGTGAAGATGAATGAAGCAGGAAACCTGTGGGATTAAAATAACATTCCTGGACGAGTGGGTGAAAAGAATGGAAGGAGCTGTGCGTGCACTCGCAAGGCCCTCAGAGAAACGTGTATGAATCAGAGGCCTGAGACTGCAGAAAAGGATTGTGAATTGATCTTCTATTGTGCAGCCAAGTGGAGAGGATCCAAACAAATATGTTGGTCAAATGATCTGCCTGATGAGGAACCTCTTTAGATTCTGGCTGGGTTCAGGAATCCCAGGGTGGGAAGGGAAGTAGTGCTGGGATAGAGGCTGAGCTGCAGCTGCTGGGGTTGAGATGGGGGAGGAAGGAAGGAAGGATGGGGCCAGGTGAGGAGAACAGATAGGATCCAGGAAGACCTGCCCGTCTCCCCAGAGCCTAGCACACTGCCCAGCTTCAAAGTAGGTGCATGGGAAATATCAGAAAAACAAATCCAGCAGAGGAGCCAGGACGGTGAAATTCCTTCCCAGAAACTTGAGAAATCCACCTGCTTTATCCCATGACAAAATATGACGAGGAGAGAATGTTGGTGGGGGTGGGAGCTGACCCGCCTGTTGTTGCACACATGGCCTCGTCAAACCATATCCGCGCTCTCATCCTTTCATCCTATGTCAGTTGTTTTCTTTTAAAAAGTCATCTCTAATCACTCACTCAGCAAATATTTACGGAGCACCTACTATGTGCCAACCCCTGCTCTTGCTCAGGCTTCAACCGTAAACAAAATGATCATCGTCCCTGCCCTTGTGAATCCTAAACACTTAAATGCATAGTTACAGGTAGTGACAAGTGCCACGAGGGAAAAGGGGCCCAGGCTCTATGATAGAATGGTCAGGGAGGGCTGATCACTTTTACCGGGAAGTTACTTTATTTATTTATTTATTTTGAGATGGAGTTTTGCTCTTATTGCCCAGGCTGGAATGAAATGCCATGATCTCGGCTCACTGCAATCTCTGCCTCCTGGGTTCAAGTGATTCTCCTGCCTCAGCCTCCCAAGTAGCTGAGATTACAGGTGCCCCACCACCACGCCCAGCTAATTTTTTTTTTTTTAGTAGATTCGGGGTTTCACCATGTTGGCCAGGCCAGTCTTGAACTGCTGACCTCAGGTAATCTGCCCACCTCGGCCTCTCAAAGTGCTGGGATTACAGGCACGAGCTACTGCACCCAGCTGGGAAGTGGCATTTAAGCCAAGTCTGCAGATGCCAGGTGTCAGCAAGTCAAGAAAGAGGGAAAAGCAACCCAGTCAAAGGGAATAAATAGCACGTGCAAAGTCCGGAGGTGGGAAGGCACTTGTGCTACTGTGGCCATGGGAGGCCAGTGCTGGGGGAGCGCGGGGTAATGGGATCAGAGTGAAGCAGGGAAGGTTTGGAGGGAAAGGAGCACACAAGACCTGGAAGCTATGCCAGAGATTCTCTGTTTCATTCCAAGGGCAATGGCAAGAAGGCATTAAGAGTTTTAAACAAGGGAGGGATGAGATGAAATGTGTGTGTCATAAAGATTATTCAGCTATGGAAAATGGGCTTGGGAGTGTGAGAGTGACCCTGGGGAGACCTGGGGCACTGGGTGTTGGAGCTTACCCCCGCCCTCCCTAGAGCCCAGCTTTACCCTCTGGGCCTGCGTCTTCAGCAGACGGCCTGGGTCGGCTGTCAACAGAAGAAGGAGCTATGGGAATTTTCCCAGCATGCATGCTGAGGAACCCAGGGCTGTAATAGATTTACTGACGAAAGAGTCTGAGATTAAGCTCTGCTGAGGTAAATGAAACAGCTCACTTTGCAGCAGGACTTCTCAGAGCCTTTGATTGGGCACTGTAGCTGGTGAACCCTGAGGAAGGGCCTAGAATGTACCACATTCTATATTGTGAAACTGTGTTTTCCATTAAATATTTTGCTACCAAGCCCACTCTTGAGAAACTGCTCCATTTCCGCTTTGCCTTTCTGGGCCAAGGATGCTAATGAACATGCTTAATTCTCTGTCTCACAACCTCTGTTCAGGGAAGTAGAACACCATCCTCTTTAGTTACTGATGAGGAAACTGACGGGTTCGGTGTCTTGTGCCTGGGATCTTGGGGAGATGAACTGTTAGTCTCGTCAGCCAGCGAATCACAAGGCCATCCTGGAAGACTGTGGGACATCAGCCTCTTTCTCTTGTCCTGTCCATGTCTTGTGACAACACTGCCTTGTCTTGTCTACTTAGGGACATCACCATTAGTGGCCACCTCTCCTGACTCTCCTGATCACTTTCCTTTCCTCATGATCTCTATTTTTTTTTTGAGATGGAGTCACGCTCTGTCGCCCAAGCTGGAGTGCCATGGCATGATTTTGGCTCACTGCAAGCTCCGCCTTCTGAGTTCAAGCGATTCTCCTGCCTCAGCCTCCTGAGTAGCTGGGATTACAGGCATGTGCCACCATGCCCAGCTAATTTTTTGTATTTTTAGTAGAGATGGGGTTACACCGTGTTAGCCAGGCTGGTCTCGATCTCCTGACTTCTTGATCTGCCTGCCTCGGCCTCCCAAAGTGCTGAGATTATAAGGAGCCACTGTGCCTGGCCTTTTTTTTTTTTTTTTAGATGGAGTCTCTCTGTCACCCAGGCTGGAGTACAATTCAGAGTCTCAGCTCCCAGTGTCCCTTCTATGAGAAGACAATGAGCCCAGCATATTTGGCCCCCAGGTCTTTATATGATGCTTCCAGCACACCCCCCTGACCCCCCTCTGTCTTCCTGGCTCTATCATGAAGGGTCCGCTACTGGGGTCGCTGTGTTGGGTGCCATCCAAGTGGATGTGGTCATTTTGATCCCTGCCCTGGTGTGCTAATCTCTGTGATGTGAAGGAAAAAGACCAGCAAAGAGAAGCAGCTCCAAAAACCTGTTTCAGGAGGTTGTGTTTTTATTCTACATTATTGGTAGGACAGGGAACAGGGCCAAGACCTCCACATTCCCCTGGGAAGGACAGTCAGGAGAATTAATTATATACATCTAAAGTGGGTGCAGGACGGAGGCCAGATCTTCCTGGGAAGTGGATAGAAAGACTTAGGCTTAAGCCACGGGAGCCAGGCCGACCTGATTGTTTGCCCTGTCGAAGACAGCAAAGTACTGGCGGATGAAGACATCACCCAGGATCCAAAGCTCTCCGTAGGCGGTGGGGATGTTCATGCCCTGGAAGCCGCTGGTGCAGCCCCCCTCGTCCTGGAGAAAAGGAGAATAAGAGTGGAGCTGGGACACTGATGCAGCAGTCCCACGCACTGGGTGATAAACATCCAGCGTGCAAGGAGGAGCTTCCTGGCTGTGTTCAGGGACTCAGCTGTCCTTGGCCTGGAGTCCGCCTGTAGAAGCTGCTCACAGCATGATTGCTTTCCACGGATTACTGGACATTATCTGGTGTTTCCCGCAGGCTCCCAGACCCTGACAGCCTCAGAGTTAAGGGGCTTGGGGAGAATTCAGCTGCTAGGAAGGAGTTTGAAAACCCTGCTGACACAGCCTTTTCTCATTATTGTTCTGACCCCATCCAGGGGCAATTGGGATGAGCCTTTATCCCTTTTGCCTCACTAGGTCACTGGGTTGCAACCTTGGCTGCATATTAGAATCACCTGGGGAGCTCTCACCCCCCCCCTGCAGCTCCCACTCCATGGCTCAGGCCTCACCCTCTCCTAATGTAATCAGAATCACTGGGGGGGCCAAGGGCTCAGTGCTTCTTGTTGAATCGCATCAATCCACTGGCAAAATTAGTTTTCCACCTGACATATAATAATAGATGGCAAGGAGTTTTCTTGTGGTTCATATAGCTAAAGATTTGCTCCTTGGTAGAGAGTGTAGGAGTGTCAGAAGCCCCAGCCTAAGGAAATTAGGCTTTCCATTTGCCCAACCCTTGCTAACTCTGATGTGATCAGTTTCACTTGGTTAACCCAACCTCGCTGTGAGGGTGGGGAAAGCTGCCGTCTCTACTTTTTAGATGAGAAAACCGAGGCTGAGATGAGTTGTAGCTTGCTCAGAATCAATGGGGTAGTAATTCAAACTCAGGACTTGGACCCAGGGCTCCAAATCTTTTCACTCCAATAACCTTTGCTTCACTTGTTCCCTTAGGGGGCTGTATCGAAATTCTTATTCCTGCATTCATTTTTAATGTGTCCTTTTTCTCTGGAGGTTTCTAGGGCAGATGTTAGTCTGCCTCTGCCTCTTGACTTCAGCTCACGGAAGTGCATTATCCCTCTGCAGAGGGGGACTCTGTGGCCACATTCTGTGTGGGCACCTCTAGTGAGTGGTCCAGAGCCCCCTCACCTGCAGGATGTAGGCACTGGCTGGCACAGGGTACTGGATGCCATTGATGGTGAAGACGATGTCGGGCAGGCTGCTGATGGCTGAGCAGCTGACCACCATCTGGAAAGAGGGAGGGTGTGAAAAGTTAGAAGGGTTTCCATCCCTTCTGCCTGGCACACCCGCTACTTACAGAGCAGTTGGGGCTGGACTCACCTCGCCATTCGAGTTCTCACTGGCTCCGATGTAGCTCTGGATGTTGGCGATGGGGCTGGTTGGGCCGGACAGCAGAGAGGTGCCGGTGTCGACGATGGCCTGGCAGCCCTCGGCGCAGGCGATGGCCTCTCCATTCATGGTGATGCTGAGAGCAAGATGCACATGAAGGCTCCTGAGCCCTCAGGGGTGCATCTCCCCAAGGAGGAACGAGGAGACCGCAGATGTTCCTTCCCGACCCAGCCATTAGACAATGCAGGAAATTTCTGTTCCTCTCATTTGTCTACTCATTCATCCTGTGTCCATTTACCCAACAAATACTTCCCAAGTGTCTGTGCCAGACATGGGAAATGCAAAGCTCAACAAGACAGCCTACAGTTCTAGGCTGCAGGGAGCGCCCAGCCTAGCTGGCAAGATGAGTTATGTTGGCAGAAGGGCAGGATGATGAGCCAGGCAGGCAGCAGTAACAGAAACAGGGTCCAGGGTGAGAGGTGATGAAGGGGAGCAGCCAGGGGAGCAGACACCCAGGGTTTCCAGGCAGGTGAAGAGAGAAGGTGGACATCATGGGCAGAGGGGTCAGCATTTGGGGAGGGACGGAGACCAGAGGGCTGGGGCAGGAGTTGGAGGAACCGGTTGTGGGAAGTAGAAAAGTTCCTCTTCAAAGTTTCCTTTCTTGTATAAGAAAAATTCATAAGTGTTAGAAATAATTGTTTTTTTTTTGAGACGGAGTTTCTCTCTCGTTACCCAGGCTGGAGTGCAATGGCGCGATCTCGGCTCACCGAAACTCCGCCTCCTGGGTTCAGGCAATTCTCCTGCCTCAGCCTCCCGAGTAGCTGGGATTACAGGCATGCGCCACCATGCCCCGCTAATTTTTTGTATTTTTAGTAGAGACGGGGTTTCACCACATTGACCAGGATGGTCTCGATATCTCGATCTCGTGATGCACCCGTCTCGGCCTCCCAAAGTGCTGGGATTACAGGCTTGAGCCACCGCGCCCGGCCGAATAGTTTGTTTGAAACACTTTCTTCAAAAGTCTTCTTGCCTTTTTGCTAGAAGCCCTATCCTATGTAGCCATTAGACATGCTTACGGGCACATAGTACATTCTATGTCCTTGTACTTTAACCAAGATATCTGTGCTGGACGTGCTCACGGGTGTGTCCCAGCTCACCCTATGCCTCTTCCTTATTTTGACTTTCTTGTTTTTTTGCTCTGCATTGCTTTTACCTGTTTAGAAAAGTTTCAAGTTATTAGCCAATCGGGTTTTAGCTTAGATTGTGAGGTCTGGCACCAGCCAATGGAGATCAGACACAGCAGTTAACCCTAAATGCATAAGAAATAAACCTGTCTGCTTTCCTTTCTTGTACTCCCATGGCAAGATTGCTAGCGGGAGTACCCTTTCTGCAGGAAGTAAAAAGAATTGCTTTGCTGAGAGATCCTTTGTCCCAGTACAATTATTCTTTGCAGCACCAAAAGTAAAAATTTCATACATAACAGGTGAAATTCTAGCATGGCTGGGCAGACATGAGGTGACCAATGTGTCCTGGTTTGCCTGGGATGGTCCCAGTTTTAGTACTGAAAGTCTTTGTCCCACGAAATTGTTCACTCTTGGGAAAACCCACACAATTGGCTAGTGAGCTGGGGCAAGAACAGTGTGGAAATGAGGCTGTAAGGGGGACCGGGGAGGCCCTGAAGGGCAGGGTGGAACGAAATGACCACACAGTTTCTTAGCCATTTTGCCCTCCTTCTAGATTGAAGGTGGCATTTTTCCTCAAGTGGGAGGAGCATGTGCTGGTTCACAGGCCCTTAAATTGTGAGCTGTGCGGACAGGAGGACCCCCAGCTCTCCCCAGGGACGCTGGTGGATTGTCCTGACTGTGACTATGAGGGCAGTGGCTGTCTCACCCTTGCAGAGTCTCGGTTTCCCAGACAGCCCTTCCCTCCTCCTCCAGGGAGGTGTCTTTCTAGGGGTCTCTCTGGCTTGGCCAACTTCAGCCTTCCCCCCGGAGTGGGTTCCCCTGTGCCAGCTGGGGGGATTCTGGGAGTCTGGTTAGCTATGAATCCATAAGGAGATGGGATTTGGGGCCCAGGCCTGGATGCTGCCCGTCCATGGTGGTCTCACCTGTCCACGGTGATCTGCCAGTAACCCTCGGCAGAAACAGGCACCCAGTTCAGACTTCCGGTGTAGTAAGAGGAGTCGATGCCACCAAACATCACCACGCTGCCGCTCTGGTCATTGCTACGAAAAGTGCAGGGAGAAGACATGAATTCTTTGGTTCGTTCATTCGTCTCAACACGTGCTGTTGCATCCTCAGAGTTACCCTTGATTGGGCACTTGCCAGGTGCTGGGCTATGACAAACATGGTTTAATTTCCTCTTTGGCCAGGGCCCATGCAGTGGGCACTGCCACTGTTATTTCCGCTTACCAGGAGGACACTGAACCAGAGAGAGGTGAGGCCACCCGCCCAAGATCACACAGCTGAGGAGTGGTGGAACTAAGTTTGGAAGAACGCACATCTCTTGGGTTCCAAAGTGTGTGGTTTCCACCATGGTGCTCACTCTAGTTGCCATGGGGACCCCGGGGAAGTAAATATGTGTGACAGTGTCGGCTCTTAAGGACTTGATGGTGAAGATCGCTGGTTCTTGGCTGGGAGCAGTTTTGTCCCCAGGGGAATGTCTGGAGACATTTTGGATTGTCATGACTGGGTGGGGGTAGGGGATGCGACTGGCATCAAATGGGTAGAGGCTGGGGATGCTGCCAGACATCCTCAATGCATGGAACAGCCCCTGGCGGCAAGGACTTACCTGGTCTGAAATGTTAATAGTGCCCAGACTGAGAAACTCCAAGCTAGCTGAAGAGACACAATGGCCCCACATGAAATATTTCTTTCTTTTTTTTGAGACAGAATCTTGCTTTGTCACCAGGCTGGAGTGCAGTGGTGCAATCTCGGCTCACTGCAGCCTCTGCTTCCTGGGTTCAAGCGATTCTCTTGCCTCAGGCCTCCCAAGTAGCTGGGATTACAGGCACGTGGCACCACGCCTGGCTAATTTTTGTATTTTTAGTAGAGACGGTGGTTTCACTGTGTTGGCCGAGATGGTCTCGATCACTTGACCTCGTGATCTGCCTGCCTTGGCCTCCCAAAGTGCTGGGATTACAGGCGTGAACCACTGTGCCCTGCCAAAATATTTAAGGCAGATTATGTTTAAAAGCCACCTTGAACATTAACTGGCCAAGAGGAGTAAATGACAAAGAGCCTTCCTGTTGTAAACTGCAGGGGTCCTTGTTATCGCAGTATTCATTTTCAAAATCTCTGCAGTTTCAGGTTAGATGTGGGAGCAAATGCAGATGGCAACAAGAAATTAATCATCCGAGAACTGGCCATTTGTAAAACATGACCCCACTCACTGAACCCACTCCACCTTGGCTGCAAACATCTCACAGTGCAATGCAATACAGTGAGGACCTAGGCGCATAGTTACCCACCAAGGAAACGTGAATGATGGCAAACCCTCGTGAACCCTTTCAAAAGAGGAGGATGTACGTGATTGCTAGAGGAAAGTTGCGTGTCATGAAAGTTGATGATGCCCTCAGATATTCTTGCATAAACTCTACTCAGCCAGAACTGACACTGGATGTATTCTTTGTTCAGCTGTGTGTTTGTTCATTCCTAGAATTAACCAATAGTCACAACTGGAATTGAGATTTTGTTAAATCATAAAAGAAACTTGCTTTCATGATTTAAAAATGTCATCATTCACATGTCTTGATCAAATCTTTTCATTTTTGTGCTATGGAATTTTGGTCTGTTTTAAGTGTATTCACTTTATTTTATTTATTTTGAGACAGAGTCTCACTCTGTTGCCCAGGCTGGAGTGCAGTGGTGTAATCTCGGCTCACTGCAACCTCCGCCTCCCAGGCTGAAGCGATTCTCCTTGCCTCAGCCTCCCGAGTAGCTGGGATTACAAGTGCCTGCCACCATGCCTCGCTAATTTTTGTATTTTTTAGTAGAGACAGGATTTTGCCATGTTGGCCAGGCTGGTCTTGACCTCAGGTGATCCTCCCTCTTCAGCCTCTCAAAGTGCTGGGATTACAGGCGTGAGCCACCCTGAGCGTATTCACTTTAAATGGCATCTTTGGGGGCCAAGGATGATGGAACTGGCACCGGGGGGCAAATGGCTAATGACATTTGAGTTGTGCACCTCAAGGGGACAGAGATGCTCGTAAAATAAGACCGTGTGCATAAGGTCCGTCAGAGAGAGACTTGGCACTGTTACTCTCCAAAGACAGATTTCTCCGGCGTCAGACACCGACTTTGCAAATCCCCTGCTTCCCCAGACCCTCTCCATCCCAGCCAGCCTTGGACAGCTCCTGGCTGGGCCAGAACACTGTGACCTCTGGAGGGGGAGGTGGGAGGAGGCCCCTCTCTATCCAACTTACGAGCTCAGGTAGACAGAGAAGAGGTCCTGGGAAACCAGGTCCTGGTTCCAAATGTTGTCAAAGACAGGTGTGGCCCCGGAGGAGGAAATGCTGGGGTAGGCCAGCCCCAGGATGCCGTCGAAGGGAGAGTAATACAGAAAGGAGCCGGGCTCAGTCTCGCTCAGGCCGAAGATCTGATTGGTGTCAGCGATGCCTCCAACCTGAGCGGGGACACCGAGATGATGGTCACCATCAGCTCATGTTCACTGAGTTCTGAGTGCCACCCTCGGGCCAGAGCCACCCTGGTTCATCTTGTGCAGGACTGGGCTTCTGGGATATCAGGCTGGAAGGAGGGGAGAGGGACTGTCTCCTGGAATACTTGTTCCTCCGCTGGAGGTAACCATGGCAAGCTGATCTCCAGATGGCCACAGTCTGTGACTCAGTGTGAGATTTTGCTGGAGAACAGATGGTCACTGTGTGTTTGTGTTTCTGATGAGCAAATGCAAAGCAGACCCCAGAAAATCAAGGCCTTTGACTCCTGCCATGCCCCCAAAATAGTAGAAAGGGCTTGCGGAGATTTTGTGACTTCGGGGGGCTGCAGGTCAGGGGAAGGAGGAAGAGGAGGAGGAGCTAGTAGAGAACCGAGCCTTTACTATCTCCCACCCCTCCATAACATTCTGCTTGGGTGACTTCTGGCTCCAGGCACCCCACCCTTTTACTCACTGCCACCCCAGCTACCAGTGTCTGCTACATCTCAGCTGCTTCTCCCCCATCGTGCCCTCACTACATCAGGTTACTTTTGTGATCACCGAGACTCATCTTGCTGGAATAAGCTTATTTGGGGTGTCGACGGTGTGATGCAGCGGCAGCCTGTGGGTGCCCACCTGGACAGTGTCGTATCCGAGGATGCCTGTCATGCTGCCAGTGCCATAGGCAATCGAGAGTGTCTGGCTGGTGGCCTGGTAGGTGGACGACTCCTGAGGGTTGAAGCGGTTGTGGTTGGCTGCAAGGGCAAGAGGTGAGTATCAGTCTCTGAGAGCTGGGTGAAGGTCATGGCTGGGACGTCTTCCCGAGATGGGTGCCCTGGCCCTGGGAGGGGCTCCAGAGGGGAGCAGTGACCTTTCCCCTACACCCTTGGAGCCCAAGAGACCAAGCTGCTGTCCTGTCTTGTTGAACTGCTGGGACTATTCACTGACGGCAGGTCCCAGCCAATCCCAAGGGCCTCTGGGGAACCCCCCAGGCCAACATTGAGCAGAGCAAGCCCATGGCTGCCCAGTGACCAGCACCTTCACCCCCCACCCCCTGGCCAGTGCTCCTGTTATGATGTGGACGATGCCACAGGCACCTCCTCTTAATTCAAACTCGTGTTAAAACACTAGAATAGAAAGGAAGCTGCAATGCACATTGTTCATGACTTCTAAAGACAAACTGTTTTATTAGCAAACCAACGATTTTTTTTTTTTGTGATGGAGTTTCACTCTTGTTGCCCAGGCTGGAGTGCAATGGTGTGATCTTGGCTCACCACAACCTCCACCTCCCCGGCTCAAGTGAATCTCCTGCCTCAGCCTCCCAGGTAGCTGGGATTACAGGCATTTACCACCACGCCTGGCTAATTTTGTATTTTTAGTAGAGACAGGGTTTCTCCATGTTGGTCAGGCTGATCTTGAACTCCCAACCTCAGGCAACCTGCCCGCCTCAGCCTCCCAAAGTGCTGGGATTACACTGTACCTAGCCACAATTCTTCCTTTTTTAAATGGATGAGAGGTTTCTCTGTTCCCCAGGCGGGTCTCCAACACCTAGTCTCGCCTCCTTATCACCAGGACAACTGGCCTGAGCCACCGAAGCTCTAGTTTGTTTTTTTAATGAACTCAGAGTTTACCACTAGCGCATCCTAGCCAGGATTTGGGGCCATTTCTCACACTGGACTCTTTCCTGGTGGGCTCTTCTGTGGTCCTTTGGCCCTGTCTTGCTTTGGGCTCCCCACACAGCCTCTCCCAGGTGGTGGTTATTCAGGAGAGCTTCCCTCTGCCCTCAGACTGTGAAGTCCTTGACTGCAGGGATCATATCACTCATCTCTTGACCCCCTGGAGCACCAGAGCCCAGTACTCCGCACATAGTAGGTGCTCACCACATAGTGAGTGGCTCCAGCAGGCTTGAGGTGGGAGCTGTTTAAAGCCCATGGGTGTCCAGGGTTCCCCAGGTTCAGCTAGTGCTGGGGAGCAAGGGCAGGGCAGGGCAGGCTGGGCACTTACTGCAAGCAGGACTGGAGCAGTAGATGGAGGGCACCCACAGGTTGGAGGAGCCGGTGTCGAAGATGACGGTGAACTCCTGGGCGGGGGTTCCGATGCCGATGGTGCCGAAGTACTCCATCTGCCGAGGCCAGGACAGCGCAGTTCACAGACCGACATCTCTGTCAGGGCTCCCTAGGGGCTGTCCCTAGGCCATCCCCTCGGTCCACCTCTCCACCTTTCCCTTCACAGTTCTTGTCTTTCTCTTCCCAGTCACTGCCTTCCTCCTTCAAAGCCCAGCCCTAGTGTCCCTTCCTCCTGGAAGTCTTCCCGATTGCTACCCCAATTTACCTTCTGCTCTCTCCTAAGCACCACAAACACTTAACAATCTGCTGTTCCCTCTTCCACCATTGTCTTGTCTGTCACAGTCTTCCCATCCTTAGAGTGCATGTTCTCAGAGGATGGGGGTGGAAACTTGTAGCACCGGCAAGTGACAGCTTAAGTGCTTGTGTCTTAAGTTGTTTATTGGAAGCTAAGCAAGCCACCTAAAGATGGAAACCCATTCAGATTTCTTATTACTGCATCGAGATGTGTACAGCAGGTTGCAAGAAAAGGCACTGTCAATATTTTTATTCTTTTTCTTTTTTTCTGAGCCAAGTCTCGCTCTGTTGTCCAGGCTGGAGTGCAATGGTGTGATCTCAGCTTGCTGCAGCCTCCACCTCCTGGGATCCAGCCATTCTCCTGCCTCAGCCTCCCAAGTAGCTGGGATTACAGGTGTGCACCATCATACCTGGCAAGTTTTTGTTTTCTTGGTAGAGATGGGGTTTTGCCATGTTGCCAGGCTGGTTTTGAACTCCTGACCTCAAGTGATCTACCCGCCTCAGCCAACAAACCAGTATTTTTCTTCTTAGCAGCAGCATTTCCCCGTTGCCAGCTCCGTTCCAGCCACACTGGTCTGCTTGCTGGTCTTTGGTGATGACCAGTCGCTCCTGCCCCATGGCCTTTGCACTGGCTATTCCTTGTGCTAGGAAAATGTTTATTCTAGATCTTTCCTTGGCTGATCCATTTTTTTTAGATGATTCATTCAGATCTCTAGTCAAATGTCCCCTCTGCCAACAGGCCTTCCGTGACCACTTTATCTGAATTTGTCCCCTCCCTATCTTCTTTTCCCCCATACTCCAATTAATTATAGTCACGATCCTCATCATTACCTGAAATTATCTTACATGCTTGTTTATTTTTCACCCCTTTAGAATATAAGCTCTAGGAGCTTTGCTTATTCACAATCATTTTGGCAACTTGCATAGCCTCTGGCACGTAGAGAGGTGCCAGTAGTTGTGAAATATTTGTTAACTAAATACATGGACTAATTAAACTTCTTACCAAGGGCCTGCCAGACCCCATGCCAAGCACTCAAGAAAACATGATTGTGTGAATTCCCGGCAACAGCCTCTGATGGTAGATATTAGTGGGTCTGTTTTCTAGACCAAGAAACAGGCTCAGCATATTTAAATGGCTTGCCCAAGGTCACATGGCTTAGAGGCACTAGAACCCACATCTGCGCCGCGTCTGCTGGATGGCAGAGGCCAAGCTCCGAACTGCAGGCACCATGGCTCTGCCACCACCCTGTACCAGGCACAGAGAGGACATGCAATACCTGTCAGAGGGCGGGGTATTTGCTATGGAGTCTCAAGTGATAAAGTCAGAGTAATCTTTCTGAAACTCAGATTTGATCTTGTCAACTCCTTGTTTAAGTGGCAGTTAGCATACAGCCTCTCTCTGTCCACCCCTCGACTTCATCCCTCGGTTCCTCCCCTCGGCTCCTCGGGTCACAGGCTGCAGCTCCCTTCCTCCCTCCCTTTTGGCTCTCCTTCAAAGGCATTGTGCTCCAGCCGGCTACAGGGGTTGGCACAAGTGAAAAGGGCATGTGGAGTTCTCTCTTGTCCTCTTCCTGCATGGCTCCAGGGAGGCTGCCCAAGTGGCAGACTCTCACGGTGTGACACCTTCACTCTGGAGTCCTCCTGCTCCCTGTTCTTTTCGTGGTTTAGTGAGGCTCCTTGATGACTGTCTTTCTCTCCTAGGCTGTGAGACTGATGACTGTCTTTGTCTCCTAGGCTGTGACTTTGCTGGCTGCTGATTCCCCCTGAGCCCAGCACAGGCCCTGACATATAAAAGGGGCTCAGAAGAAGTGAACATTGCATGAACGAGTGAGTGAATGAATGAATATATGAGTCGCAGCTCTGACCATGAGTTTTCCTGCCTGCTCTGGGTCACTGACATCTAAGGAGCAGCCCCTGGGTCACTGCCTAGAGCCTCAGAGCCCTGGCCGGTCCCCCAAGACCCCTGGGACACCCTCTTTGCTGCTGGCCAAGTCCTCAGAGCTGGCCCCGCCGCTCGCCCACACACTCACATCCAGGTAGTTCACCAGGGGCTGGTTGGCTATCATGGTGGCAGCCTCCCCCTGGGGGAAGTACTTGCTGGCTGGGTCCAAGGTGTTATTCTTCAGGAAGTCCTTTAGCAGGCCATGCTCGATCAGGTTCTTCCTCAAGGACTTCTTTTTGATGAGGGAGACCCTGTGGTTTGGAGGAGGAAGAAGAATTAGGCAACGATTCTGCTCAGCGGGTGCTGTGGCAGCCCCAGAAGGGAAGCTGGTCTAAGAGAGGAAGAGAGAAGCTCCCATTTCTGCCCAATAATGCAGAGAAGTTAAGCTGACTAGCGGTGGAGCTGGGAACCACTAGTCTTAGCCACTTCTGCAGGACAGCCTCCCAAGAGGGCAGAGAGAGAGGCTGAAAAGGGTGATGGAGACAGCGGAAGAGAAAGAAAAAAAGGGAAGGAGACAGGGGAGGAAAGAAAGGTAACGTGGGAGGCGGCCGTCTTCACACCCACGCCACCTGGACTCACTTGTAGAGGCACTCAGAGAGCGCCACCAGACTGAGCAGCAGCAGCCACTTCATGGTTCTAGCCAGGCCCCAACTCTACGGAGAAGGCAAGATAGGAGGAAGGTGCAGAGCAGCAGCAGGAGCCGCCCTTATATACAGCTCGGTCCCTGCCTTATCGGCCTGTCACCCACTCCCCTGATCCCAAACACAAAAGCTCCTGATAAGATTGTTGAGACCGTTCCAGCTGAGGAGGTTTCCATTGTAACCTTGTGCCATGGGGGGTGCCATGGGCGTGGGCCTGCAGAGAGAGAGAGAGAGAGAGAGAGAGAGAGAGAGAGAGAGAACGACTTTGAGGCTTATTTCTTTTCTTTTTATTTTATTTTTTGTTTGTTTCTGAGACGGAGTTTTGCTCTGTCGCCCCATCAGAGGCTTATTTCTTAAGAGTGGAGAAGGTCCCACATTGAAATTTACAAGCTGAGCATTTTGACAATGTTGGTTAAAAGTGCGTGTGACACAACATGGGCCAGATGTGAAGGAGCCCCATGTGGCCTGATTTGTCCCACTGGGGCACGCAGCTGGGGTTCTCAGAGGGCAGCTCCCGACTCAGGGATAGCTGGTACTGGTTGTGGTCACTGCTTATCCACCGCACACTGGGGGTGGGTTGTTTGGACTCAGGACAGAATTCCCCACATAAGTGTCACTGTGTGGGGTTGTTGGGCATCTGACTAGCCTATGGGACTTTGGGCTTGCTTTTCGTGGCAACTGGGCTGAGTCTGGGAAGCAGATGTGTGTAGTACACGGCGGTGGGGGGAGGGAGAGAGCACCGAAGAATGCTGCCTTCCCTTCCCGGGGGAGGCAAACTTCACACAGGCCAGGTGTGTCTTTGGAATCTGTGTCCCTCCCTTTCTGCACCCCTTCTTTCTTTTGCTCCTTTCCCACCCTCTCCATCTTTGAGATCCCACCTGCGTCTGATTCCTCCAGGTGCTCCAGGCTCACAACTGGGCTGAAATCAGCTACAATGGAGCAAAGCAATCTGGGTAAACAAATTCATACTCTTGGGTGGGTGACTTAGAAAGAGGATGCTGGCCAGGCGCGGTGGCTCATGCCTGTCATCCCAGCACTTTTGGAGGTCAAGGTGGGTGGATCACGAGGTCAGGAGTTTGAGACTAGCCTGGCCAACATGGTGAAACCCCGTCTCTACTAAAAATACAAAAATTGCCTGGGCATAGTGGTGAGTGCCTGTAATCTCAACTATTCTGGAGGCTGAGGCAGGACAATTGCTTGAATCAAGTTGGCTGAGGTTGCAGTGAGCCAAGATAGTGCCATTGCACTCCAACCTGAGCAACAGAGCAAGATTCCATCTCAAAAAAAAAAAAAAAAAAAGAAAGAAAGAAAGAAAGAAAGAGGATGCTTACCAACCCAGTGGATTCCCCACTTTGTGAACTTTTATTTAGTGGACAAAGTAGAGTGAAAACTCTGATGCATGAATTGCTGGGGAGAAGGGCAGAGGAGGGAGGAGGCCACCAGCTAGATAGGAAACGCTGCCTTAGGGTCTTGCTCTGAAACAGATCCGCTGAGACATCCTCAGACTGTCCAGCCATGAGATCCACAGGTTCTATGAAAGCTCCAAATTGCCCCCAGTGTCTCCAGGCGGGTGTGCATGGGTAGGCAGTGTGGAGAAGTTCAGGGACAGTGGTGGTTAGTAGAAAGGATATTGACATTTCAGACTCACCTGTTAGTTGACATCTTTGTGCCCCAAATGTGAATCCTGGGCCCATTTTTTTCTTTTCTTTTCTCTTCTTTTTTTAAGATGGAGTCTTGCTCTGTTGCCAGGCTGGAGTGCAGTGGCGCCATCTCAGCTCACTGCAACCATCACCTTCCCTGTTCAAGCAATTCTCCTGCCTCAGTCTCCTGAGTAGCTGGGACTACAGGTGCCCAACACCATGCCCAGCTAATTTTTGTAATTTTAATAGAGATGTGATTTCACCGTGTTGGCCAGGATGGCCTCGATCTCTTGACCTCGTGATGCCCCGCTTTGGCCACCCAAAGTGCTGGGATTATAGGCATGAGCCACCATACCTAGCCTTCTTCTTCTTCTTTTTTTAAGTGTCAATCTCACTCCAGTATGACTAGCCCTTGTATTTTTCACTTTCAAGTCTTTTAGTGCCTTCTTCTTTTCCTCTCTTTCCTCCCTCTCAAGCCCCCCCGCCCGTCTCCCTTTTTGAGACAGGGTCTTATTCTGTCACTCAGGCTGGAGTATAGTGGCGTGATCATGGCTTACTGTTCAATCAGTCCTCTGGCCTCAGCCTCTGAGTAGCTGGGACTGTAGGCATGAGCCACTACGCCCAGCTACCTTTTGTATTTCCGGTAGAGACAGGCTGGTTTCAAACTCCTGGGCTCAAGTGAGCTTCCTGCCTCGGCCTTTCAAAGCGCTGGGATTACCGTGAACCACAATGCACCCGACCCTCTCTCTCTTTATTGATACATAGCATTTTACATATTTTGGGGGTACATGTGATATTTTGTTACATGCATAGAAAGAGTAATGATCAAGTCAGGGTATTTGGAGTATCCATCACCTTAAGTATGGGTTGATCCCAGCAATCATATGAACTCGCGGGTCCTGAAGATGCCTGCCTAAGTTCTGGGGGCACCGGATGGAATCCCCTCACTCAAGGCTGCCACCAGATGGAAGGGAGGGAGCTTGGAGCCCAAGGATGGGCACTGATTTTGGGGGCACAGCTTGTCTGGGGCTCACATGGGAATTTTGAGCAGAGGAGAAATATGTTTGGGAAGCAGAAGGAAGATTTCCCAGGCAGAAACCTGCAAGCCCCTTTAAACATTCATTCAAATGCCGTGTTGTGCACTTGCTGTGTACTGAGCGTGCTCGCTGCTGAGGGTACATCCCTGAGCATGACAGGCATAGGCTGTGCCTGGGGCGCATTTGTGGTCAGTTCAAGGGAAAGCTGGTGTGGAAGGGGCTCTTTCTTTTCACCTGGATGGATATTCGGATCACATTGAGGGGAAGCTCTCGGGTTGGTGAAGATGATAGTATTTCTTCACATTAGAGATTTTAGCACCCCTAGGGATGCTGGAATGCTTGCTGACACCAACTCAGGGACATGGTGGAGAGACTCTAGGATGGCCTGCAATTATTCATCTGCTGGTAGTCACACCCCTGTGTAATCCCTTCCCCTTTTGTGTAGGTAAGACTTGCTTCTGACCAGCAGGATACAGCAAAGTAGTTGGGATGTGGCTTTTGTGATAACATTATACAGACTTGTAGCTTGTGTCTTGCTAGCACACTCACTGCATAGACTCTTTCCCTTGCTGGCTCTGATAAAGAAAGCTACTCTATAAAGAGGCCCAAGGGGAAGGAATCAATGGTGGCCTCCAGCCTCCAGCCAGCAAGGAACTCAGGCCGTCAGTCTGACAATCTGCAAGTAATTGAATCCTGCCAGCAACCATGAGAGTGTGGAAGTAATTCCTTCTCCAGTTGAGCCTCAGATGAGACCACAGACCAGGCTGACATCCCTGACTGCCAGAGGCCTCAGTTGAACCGAGCCTGGATTGCTGACTCACAGAAACTGTGAGCTAGTTAGTCAATGCAAATTGTTGTAAGTCATTAAATTTGTGTTAACTCATCATCAGCAACAGAAAACAGGACTGGAAACCTCACTGAAAACTCCAAAAAGGTCCACCTGGCTGCCTCTTGCTCTTCCCTCTTTCAGGACCATTTCAGTGCTCTGCTGGGTGGTTTTCTGCTCAGGCAATGTGAGTGATCTGAAAAGAAGGAAGGTGACTTTGTTGGTCAGGTCGTCTGCAAACCTCTCTCAACACAGCAGTGCTTATATTTCTGTGGCTCTTCGTGCTTTTCTGAATGCTTTGAATTCTTTTAAAAAAGAATTATTATACTATTACCCCCACATAGTTCAGGGAAGTTAAGTGATCAGTGCAGGTTCACATAACTAAGTAATGACACAGATGGGATCTGAACCTGGGTCTCAGGAGGCTCTGGTCCCTGACCAGACTCTGCGACCACGTACATCCACCAGGTTTCTGTTCATGGGTTAGTGTGTAACATGAACATTCCATGACGGCTGCAGCCTCTGTCCCAGGGGCACTTAGAGAAGCCATTCCACTCAGCCCAATTTACCAGAGGAAACCTTGTGAGGGAAAGGGGAATCCTGATTCTGCAACCATGTGCTCTCATGAGGTCTGATTGTCAGCCAGTGCTGATCCATGGCTGCCAGCAAGGAAGCCTTGTAGTCTCATTGTGCCAGACTGGCCTGGCAGAAAGATTAGACAACAATGTTTACTTTGCCATTAGCCTTGCCTGGCACTCAGTATGGTAGTGCCTTGCTTTCAGGGTCACTGGTAGCAGTGCCTCTAATGCAGGACAGCCCCTGCCAAGGGCACAGGTGTTCAGAACTGTTTCACGAACAAATCAAATCAAGTGATGAAATGAAATCTAAGGAACTCAATCATGCCAAGCCTGAGACGGCACCCTTAAGCACGATAAGTGTTATCGAGCTGGTCTGATAGGCATTGGGGCGGCTGGTCCCCTAGGAGCTTTCAATCAAGGTCTCACCCCAGGGACACAATCTTCCAACAACAAAGAGAACATTGTGTTTTCCACTCCCCAGTCCCAGACCTGGGCTGCTTGTCCAGAGATGTATGCAGGTTTTAAAAGTTAAATTTATGATAACTTTTTTGGCTCAAGTATAGAAGTAATATATGATCTTTGTAGATTATTTTTGGTAAATAAAAATTTTAAAATGACTCATAACCCCACCACCCAGCACTAACCACCATTAGTGTGCTAAATGAATATATCGATTTACTTACAAATATGGACTTAAGATATGGCACAGATTGTTTTGCAACCAACCCACTGTTATGGGACCAGCTTGCTTCCCCTGCTCTATTTTATCTGCAATCCAAACCTGTTTTTAAAAGAAAAATTGTAGTCTTGTATTTTCCAAGTGTTTTTTTTATAAATCTACATTATTATTTTTAAACTTTTCTCATAATATGCATGCAGAACGGTGCGTATCACAAAAAATAGCCTGCTGAATTTGCACAAACGAAGCACATGTGTGTAACCACAGCCCAGATCCAGCAAAAAAGCATTTTAGGTACCCCCAGATCCCCCGCAGGCTCTTCCCAGTCACTAACCCAGCGCTAGACCAGTGCGTCACTACCCTAATTTCTAAACAGCAAAGATTCCATTCGCCTGTTTTTGTGCTTTTGATAAGCAGTACCACATAACAAGCACTATTTTTTTTTTTTTTTTGCTTTGAGCTTCTTTGCTTAAAATCACGTTTAGGAAAGGCGTCCACAGATGGCGTCGTGGGTGGTTGTCAGTCATTTTCATTGCTGTGTATTATTCCACTGCATCAATATACCCTTTATTTTATCTCTTTTCAGTTCATAGGCATTGGGGTAGCTTCCAGCGTGGGGTCCTTAGGAACGGTGCTCTATGAACGATCTATTATTATACACACCTTCTTTCTTTTTCCTTTTATGTATCTATTAAAACACTAGAAATGAGGTCTTGCTATGTTGCTCAGGCTGGTCTTGAACTCCTGGCCTCAAGCAGTCCTCCCACCTTGTCTTTCCCAAGTGCTGGGGTTACAGACATGAGCCACTGTGCCTGGCTCTTTTCTTCTTTTTTAATTGGCACATAATAATTGCACATATTTATGGGTACATAGCGATGTTTCCATATATATAATGTTTAGTGATAAGGTCAGAGTAATTAGCCTATTTATCATCTCAAACATTTATCTTTTTTTTTTTTTTTGAGCCAGAGTCTCACTCTGTCACCCAGGCTGGAGTGACAATGGCATGATCTCAACTCACTGAAACCTCTGCCTCCAGGGTTCAAACAATTCTCCTGACTCAGCATCCCAAGTAACTGGGATTACAGGCGTCCACGACCACACCTGGCTACATTTTTGTATTTTTAGTAGAGATTCACCGTGTTGGCCAGGCTGGTCTCAAAGTCCTGACCTCAGGTGATCCTGCCTCTGCCTCCCAAAATGCTGGGTCTACAGGTGTGAGCCACCATGCCTGGCCTCATCATTCCTTTGTTTTGGGAGCATTCAATGTCCTCCCTCTAGATATTTGAAACTATATAACGTATTATCGTTAATTACGTCATTCTAATACACAACCTTTTTTTTTTTTGAGACAGGGTCTTGCTCCATTGCCCAGGTGAGAGTGCAGAAGCACAGTTATGATTCACTGCAGCCCGAGCAGTCCTCCCACTTCGGCCTCTCGAGTAGCTGGGACCACAGGTGTTTGCCACTATGCCTGGCTAATTTTTAAATTTTTGTATAGATGGGGTCTCCCTGTGTTGCTCAGGCTGATCTCCAACTCCAGAGCTCAGGTGATCCACCCGCCTTGACCTCCCAAAATCCTGGGATTATATGCGTGAGCCACTGTGCCCAGCTTCTAATACACATCTTTTAGAGAACATATGTTTGTGTTTCTGTTGGGTGTATGCCCCCAGTGAAGTTCGTTGTTGGAGCATACGGTGGGCATATGTCCAGCTTTAGTAGAAACTGCTGAACGATTTTCTAAAGAGGTTGTATCACTTAATACTCCCGCCAGCAGAGTGTGGAAATTCCAATGGCTCCAAGTCCTTGTCAACACATTTTTTTGGTATGTGTCAGTCATTTTTTTTTTTTTTTTGAGACGGAGTCTTGCTGTTGCCAAGCTGGAGTGCAGTGGTGCAATCTCGGTTCACTGCTACCTCTGCCTCCCGGGTTCAAGTGATTCTCTTGCCTCAGCCTCCTAGTAGCTGGGACTACAGACGTGCACCACCACGCCCAGCTAATTTTTGTATTTGTAGTAGAGATGGGGTTTCACCATGTTGGCCAGGATGGTCTTGATCTCTTGACCTCGTGATCCACCTGCCTTGGCCTCCCAAAGTGCTGGGATTACAGGCATGAGCCACCATGCCCAGCTGTGTCAGTCATTTTAATTTCAGCCTTTCTAAAGGACGTAAGGAGGTATCTTCTTCTTCTTTTTTTTTTTTTCTGAGACAGGGTCTCCTTTTGTCACCCAGGCTGGAGTGCAACGGTGTGATCTCGGCTCACTGCAACCTCTGCCTCCCGGGTTCAAGCGATTCTCCTGCTTCAGCCTCCCGAGTAGCTGGAATTACAGGTGTGCACCACCAGGCACAGCTAATTTTGTATTTTTAGTAGAGATGGGATTTCACATGTTGACCAGGCTGGTCTTGAACTCCTGACCTCAAGTGATTGGACAACCTCAGCCTCCCAAAGTACTGGGATTACAGGCATGAGCCACCATGCCTGGTGTTTATTTTGAACATAATAATTAAGGAGGGAATTTATTTTTTTTTGAGATGGAGTCTCATTCTGTCACTCAGGCTGAAGTGCAGTGGTGCGATCTCAGCTCACTGCAACCTCCGCCTCCTGGGTTCAAGTGATTCTCCTGCCTCAGCCTCCTGAGTAGCTGAGACTACAGGTGTGTGCCACAATGCCCAGCTAATTTTTTATTTTTATTTTTAGTAGATACAGGGTTTCACCATGTTAGATAGGATGGTCTTGATCTCCCGATCTTGTGATCAGCCCACCTTGGCCTCCCAAAGTGCTGGGATTACAGGTGTGAGCCACCAAGCCCTTCCTAAAGGGGGAAGTTTTTAAAACAAGAGTAGAGAGATGATTCCAGAGAAAATCATGGTTCTTTGTGGGCAGAGTATGGAGGACACCATCCACAATGCATTCATCCAGTTCATGAATTTTATTTTATGGTCCACAAGCTCAAATGAGAGATATATTACAGATGGTTGTATTGTAAACCCAATCTTAAGAAGCCTGACCAAGCAAATGGAAGGCAGGGTCTTGAAGAGATGCTTGCACACCCGTGTTCATAGCAGCATTGTGCACAAGAGCTAAAGCTTGGAAGCCGCCCACAGATGCTTCAACAGAAGAGTAAATAAGCAAAATATGCTCCATCCATACAATGGAATAGTATTGAGCCTTAAAAAGGATGGAAATTCTGACACCCACTACAACATGGGTAAATCTTGAGGATATGTGTAAGTGAAATGAGCTAGTCACAAAAAGACAAATCCTGTGTGATTCGACCTAATGAGGTTCCTAGAGCAGTCAAATTCATAGACACAGACAGCGGAATGGTGGCCAGCTGTGGTGGCGCACGCCTGGAATCTCAGCACTTTGGGACGCCAAGGTGCGAGGATTACTTGAGGTTAGGAGTTCGAGACCAGCCTGGCCAACATGGCAAAACCCCATCTATACTAAAAATACAAAAATGACCTGGGCGTGGTGGTGTGCCCCTGTAATCCTAGCTACTCAGGAGGCTGAGGCAGGAGAATTGTGTGAATCCAGGAGGCAGAGGTTTCAGTGAGTGGAGATCACGCCACTGCCCTCCAGCCTGGACAACAGAGAGAGACTTTGTCTCAAAAAATAAAAACAAAAACAAAAAAAACCCCCAAAAGAATGTGGAATGGCAGTTGCCAGTGGGGAGAGAGGCTTGGGGAGTTCTGCTTAGTGGGTGCAGAGTTCCAGTTTTACAAGACGGAAAGAATTCTGGAGGTGGATGCTGGTACAGCACATTATGAATGCGTTTAACACCACTGGGCTATGCACTTAGATAGCGTTAAGATAGTACATTTTATGCTATGTGCATTTTACCACAATAAAATAACTGGAAAAAGGCCAGGCACGGTGGCTCATGCCTGTAATCCCAGCACTTTGGGAGCCTGAGGCAGGCGGATCACCTGAGGTTGGGAGTTCGAGAATAGCCTGGCCAACACGGTGAAGTCTGTCTCTTAAAAAATAAAATAAAATAAAATAACTGGAAAAAAAAGAGCAGGGCAGGGGCGGTGGCTCACGCCTGTAATCTCAGCACTTTGGAAGACCAAGGCGGGCTGATCACCGGAGCACAGGAGTTGGAGACCAGCCTGGGCAACATAGCGAAATCCCGTCTCTAAAAAAAATCCCAAAAATTAGTCGGGTGTGGTGGTGTCTGTCTGTAACCCCAGCTACTCAGGAGGCTGAGGTGGGAGGATCATCTGAGCCTGGGAGGTGGAAGTTGCAGTGAGCTGAGATTGCACCACTGCACTCCAGCCTGGGCAAGAGAGTGAGACCCCATCTCAATAAATAAATAAAAGGAACTGTCCTAGACGCTGATAGCTCCAAATCTGTGTGTTCTTGAGCAGGGATGGCGCTGGGGTCTATGGTGTAAGCTCTCAGGAGAGAGTCAGCAAGCAGAGAGGAGGCGCTGGGGGCAAGAATGTGGCCAAGCCCTGGGGAGGGAGTAGGAGAGCCAGGAGTCTCAACCACAGCCTCCCAGCGCCAGGCTGCTCGGCCCTCAGAAAGGGTTGTGACGCCTGCTTTGGGCAAATGCAAGAGAAGGTCCTGGAGGAGGCAGTGGCAGAAATTCGGTACTGGGCAGAGCAAGGGTTAACTGGAAGCAGGAAAGACAATGCCTGGAACCTGGAGTGGGCTGGGGCGGATGGGGAGAGGATGGAGCTATTAAGCAGGAGCTGGGACACTCCTGGGAACTGGGGCATGTCCAGGAAGTGGGCCTGAAGTCTTCAAGCGGGCACGGGGCGATTCCCAGCCCCTTACAGCCCTGCTCTCCCTCAACACCTGCTCTGAGCTGCACCTGCCCAGAGCCCCAGTGTAAAGCCACTGCAGCTGGTGGCCTGGGGTGTGAACTCCTCTTGGGGACAGAGGTTAAGGTCCCCTGATAGCGCGTCCTGCCCACCACGGCAGTTCTTTTGTCCTCGGTATCTCAAATGCTCCATTACTACCAGGTGAGCATAGCTCTGGACCTGGCCTCCTCAGCGGTTTCTGATCCAGTCTGACCCCGTCTACGCCCTGTTCCTTCTAAGGGATTATCGGAATTCTGGTATCTGACCTGTGACTCTACCACCATTGGTTCCAGGCTGGGGGTGTGACTGGACGTATTTTAAGCGCCTATCCTGAGCCTCCTGCTCCAGATGGGAGAGCCAGGGAGCCCAGCTGCCTTCCCTCCAAAGGACCTGTGGCAGCAGCTTTCAGGGTCTTCGTGCCTTGGTCTGGGGTGGGCAGCAAGGCAGCAGATTCAAGCAGAAAGCTCTGCCATCTTTTTTTTTTTTGACATGGAGTCTCACTCTGTCCCAGGCTGGAGTGCAATGGTGCGATCTTGACTCACTGAAACCTTTGCCTCCCGGATTCAAGCGTTTCTCCTGCTTCAGCCTCCTGAGTAGCTGGGATTATAGGTGTGCACTACCACGACTGGCTAATTTTTGTATTTTTAGTAGAGATGAGGTTTCACCATGTTGGCCACGCTGATCTTGAACTCCTGATCTTGTGATCTGCCCGCCTCGTCCTCCCAAAGCGCTGAGATAACAGGCGTGAGCCACCATGCCCAGCCAGCTCTGCTATCTTCTTATAGCCTACTCCCTGGCCAGACTGGCCAGGCTCATGAGACCTTTGCTTTGTTCATCTATTCATTCATTCATTCTTTTATTCCACATGCCAGACCGTAGGCTTGCTAGAGACGAATCAGCCATGAGTTTTGCCCTCAGTGGGTTTACATCTGAGTAGGAGAAGTAAGACCCATACCTCAGTCACTGTAATAAAAAGCAGAAAATAGTAGAAATTATTAACTAGGGCAGACACTAAGAAGGGTTTAAAACGGACAAAGTGCTATGGTTCATTCAGGAAAAGAAGCTCACTCCCAGGGGACATAGGGGAGGCCATCGTGGAGGAGGCGGCATTTGAGCTGTCTTAGTATCTGGAGGCTGAAATCAGCCCAGGACTGTGTTCCTCCTTCCTAGGGGCACTTGTCATTTTCACAAGGATCTGGACCTGGGCAGTGTAGATGTTGAGTGAACGGTGGAGCGTTAAGCACCCAGGCTGACTGTCAGGTATGGAAGTTTCATTGCTAGAAAAGGAAGAGGAGGGGGCCGGGCGCGGTGGCTCAAGCCTATAATCCCAGCACTTTGGGAGGCCGAGGCGGGGGATCACGAGGTCAAGAGATCGAGATCATCCTGGTCAACGAGGTGAAACCCCGTCTCTACTAAAAATACAAAAATTAGCTGGGCGTGGTGGTGCTCACCTGTAGTCCCAGCTACTCAGGAGGCTGAGGCAGGAGAATTGCTTGAACCCAGAAGGTGGAGGTTGCCATGAGCAGAGATTGTGCCATTGCACTCCAGTCTGGGTAACAGTGAAACTCCGTCTCAAAAAAAAAAAAAAAAAAAAAAAAGGAAAAGGTAGAGGAGGCTTCTGGGCCTGTCTGGAGGCTCCAAAATCACAGCACTGTGGAGGAGCACAAGCCTCCTGTTTTCTTTTCTTTCTTTCTTTCTTTTTTTTTTGGTACAAAGTTTCGCTCTTATTGCCCAGGCCAGAGGGCAATGGCGCAATCTTGGCTCACTGCAACCTCCACCTCACAGGTTCAAGCAATTCTCCTGCCTCAGCCTCCCGAGTAGCTGGGATTACAGGCATGTGCCATCACGCCTGGCTAATTTTTGAATTTTTAGTAGAGACGGGGTTTCACTATATTGATCACACTGGTCTTAAACTCCTGACCCCAGGTGATCCGCCCTCCTTTGTGCCTGTGCCATCCGTGGAGCCCTGAGCCTGTCCCTCTGTCCCAGTGCATGCTCCAGGCCAGGCTTGGGTAAGGCAGTAGGCAGGCCCTGGCCAGTGCGTCCTCTGGGGCTGGGGGTTGTGGGACTCAGGTGGAAGGTGTCACAGCTCCCAGTTTCAATGCTGAGAGCTGTGACCTGGGCTGAAACAGCTTGCCTTCCTGCCCTCCGGCCCTGGGCTTTCGAATTCTCCCGCTGGGCCACGTCCTCTCCTGCCTCTGAGCCTTGGCAAAAGCTATTCCCTTTGAATGCACTTCTCTGTCATTACTGAGAGTGTCAGAGTCCTTGCGGAAGCAGGTGGCCCACCTTGAGGTTTGAAGAGATTTAGTGAAGGGGTGGGCAGGGGTAAAGAACCCCAAAAGTGACGTGGATCCCAAAAGGACCTGGAGCCAGCAGCAGTGGAAAATCAAAGGGAACACAGGGAGGGACCAGCACGGCCAGGATCCAGCTTGAGCTGGGGCTGAAGGTGAAGGTGTCCTGGAGCCTGGGGTCTGTCTCTTGGCCTCAGAGCAAGGTGGATCCCGGTGGAAGGCAGGGAGGAGGAGGAGGAGGAGGAGGAGGAGGAGGAGGAGGAGGAGGAGGAGGAGGAGGACCCCCGCTAACGTTCCCCTTCAGACCCTGCTCCCCGCATACCGTCCTCCCATGTCCAGAGGCCATCTTGCCCTTCAGCGTCCGGCAGATGGTGCATGACCACTTGCAGTTGACCCTGTGCTGAGGGGCAGGGTCTTATCCTTTCCCTCCAGTTCCCACCCTAGCCTGGCACAGAGATGTTGGTACGTAAAATAGGCAAGGAGAGCTGGGTGCGGTGGCTCATTCCTGTAATCCCAGCACTTTGGAGGCCAAGGTGGGTGGATTGCTTGAGTCCAGTCATTTGAGACCAGCCTAGGCAACATGGTGAAACTCTTGTTTCTACTAGAAATAGAAAAAGTTAGCCGGGCATGGTGGCACACACCTATAGTCCCAGCTACTCAGAAGGCTGAGGTGGAGAATCACCCGAGCACAGGAGGTCGAGGCTGCAGTGAGCCGTAATTATGTCACTGTACTCCAGCCTGTGCGGCCCAAGTGAAACCCTGTCTCAACAACAACAACAAAAGAAAATATTTTATTTTTTATTTTAATTTTAATTTTTTGAGACTGAGTCTCACTCTAGTTGCCCAGGCTGGAGGGCAGTGGTGCATGTAACTGAGATTGCAGGTGCATGCCACTGTGCCCGGCTAATTTTATTTTAATGTTTTAGTAGAGATGGGGTTTCACCATGTTGGCCAGGCTCCGGGCTGGTTTCGAACTCCTGACCTCAGGTGATCCTCCCGCCTTGACCTCCCAAAGTGCTGGGATTACAGGCATGAGCCACCATGCCTGGCCGAAAATATTTTAAATCTACAGAAAAATTGCTAGAATAATGCAATGAATTCCCATGTATTTGGGAGGGTGAGGCAGGCAGATCACCTGAGGTCAGGCAGGAGTTCAAGATCAGCCTGGCCAACATGGCAAAACCTCATCTCTACTGAAAATACAAAAAAATTTAGCTGGGAATGGTGGCGCACGCTTGTGATCCCAGCTACTAGGGAGGCTTAGGTGGGAGAATGGCTTGAACCTTGGAGGTGGAGGTTGCAGTGAGCCAAGATTGCACCACCACACTCCAGCCTGGGCGCCAGAGTGAGATTCCCTCTCCAAACAAACAACAAACACCCCCCCCCCCCAAATTCCCGTATATAGTTCACCGAGAGTCATTATTGTTATAATTGTTTTTAGATTCACTTATTGACATTTTTCCGTCTTTGCTCTCTCTGTTTCTCCCTCCACACACATCCACACATGCATATTGTTATTATTTTGGCTGAATGATCTGAGTCAGTTGCAGACGTCATGATCCTTTGCTCCTAAATCTCTAGTGTGTGTCTCTAAAGACATTTGCTTATGTAACTGATGTCAACGTGACTACCTGCAGTACGTCTCACATTGATACGATACCATTTTTTTTTTTTTTTTTTTTGAGACAAAGTGTTGATCTGTTGCCCAGGCAGGAGTGCCATGGCACCATCTTGGCTTATAGCAACCTCCACCTCCTGGGTTCAAGCAATTCTGCTTCAGCCTCCCGAGTAGCCAGGACTACAGGCGCCCGACACCACGCCTGGCTAATTTTTGTATTTTTAGTAGAGACAGGGTTTTACCATATTGGCCAGGCTGATCTCGAACTTCTGAAACTGTGATCTGCCCACTTCTGCCTCCCAAAGTGCTAGGATTATAGGCATGAGCCACTGCACCCCGCCAATATGATACTATTATCTAATACACAGCACATATTCAGATTTCACCATTGTCTTTAAATTGTTCTTTTTCATGTTTTTTAATTTTCTGATCCACAACTCAATCCTGGATCATGCCTTATTTTGGGTTCTGGGTCTCCTGGGCATCCTTTGGTCTTCAACAGTCCCTCCCTCTGCCTTTTTCTTCATCAGGTTAAAAACTTTTGAAGAGGCCGGGCATGGTGGCTCATGCCTGTAATCCCAGCACTTTGGGAGGCTGAGGCAGGTGGATCACTTGAGGTCAGGAGTTCGAAACCAGCCTGTCCAACATGGCAAAACCCCGTCTTTACTTAAAATACAAAATTAGCCGGGCATGGTGGTGCATGCCTGTAATCCCAGCTACTTGGGAGGCTGAGGCAGGAGAATCACTTGAACCTGGGAGGTGGAGGTTGTAGTGAGCCAAGATTGTGCCACTGCACTCCAGCCTTGGCAACAAAAGCAAAACTCCATCTCAAAAAAAAAAAAAAAAAAAAATTAAAAACTTTTGAAGAGTACAGGCCAGTTATTTTGCAGAAAGTCCCTCAATTGGGGTTTGTTTGATGTATTCTTTATTTTTTTTTGAGACCGAGTCTTGCTCTGTTGCCCAGGCTGGAATGCAGTGGCTCAATCTTGGCTCACTGCAACCTCTGCCTCCCCAGTTCGAGCAGTTCTCATGCCTCAGGGACCCCAGTCGCTGGAATTACAGGTGTATACCACCACCCCTGGCTAATTTTTAAATTTTTATTATTTATTTATTGAGATGGAGTTTCACTCTTGTCACCCAGGCTGGAGTGCAATGGCATAATCTTGGCTCACTGCAACCTCCACCTCCTGGGTTCAAGCAATTCTCCCGCCTCAGCCTCCTGAGTAGCTGGGACTACAGGCACGCGCTACCGTGCCCAGCTAATTTTTTTGTATTTTTAGTAGAGACGGGATTTCACCATGTTGACCAGGATGATCTCGATCTCCTGACCTCGTGATCCACCTGCCTCGGCCTCCCAAAGTGCTGGGATTACAGGCGTGAGCCACCGCGCCCGGCCCGGTGTTTTCTTAACATTGAGTTCACCTGATGTTCATTCTAAAAGTACTTATTGATCAGCTATTATTTTAGGCACTGAGGATTCATCAAGGAAAAAGCCCCAAATCTTTGCCCTTTTGAGTTTACACACCCGGGAAGGAGATGGACAACCAACAAGATAAATAACCACATTATGGTGTGTGATTCTGTGAGGCCAGGAAGAAACTAAAGTCAGGAAGAAGATGGGGAGTGTCAACAGGGCTGACGTTTTAGGTAGAGGGACCACAGAGGGCCCCACCCTGAGGGGGCGTGTGAGTGGAGACTGGAAGGAGGGGAGAGGGGGAGTGCTTGTTACTCACGATTTGAGCTGTGCTTCTCTTTTTCTTTTTTTCTTTTCTTCTTATAGGCAAGTCAACTTCATGCTTTTTACCTTTTCCATCGTTTATCCATTACGTATCTACATTCTTATTTATTATTATTATTGTTTTTCAGAGTCGGAGTTTCACTCTTGTTGCCAAGGCTGGAGTGCAATGGCACGATCTTGGCTCACCACACCTCCGCCTCCCAGGTTCCAGTGATTCTCTTGCCTCAACCTCCAGAGTAGCTGGGATCACAGGCATGCACCATTAGGCACAGCTAATTTTGTTTAATCTTTTTTTTTTTTACATCCCATTTCCTGAGGATTTTTTTTTTTTTTTGAGACGAAGTTTCGCTCTTGTTACCCAGGCTGGAGTGCAATGGCACGATCTCGGCTCACCGCAACCTCCGTCTCCTGGGTTCAGGCAATTCTCCTGCCTCAGCCTCCTGAGTAGCTGGGATTACAGGCACGCGCCACCATGCCCAGCCAATTTTTTGTATTTTTAGTAGAGACGGGGTTTCACCATGTTGACCAGCATGGTGTCATCTCTTGACCTCGTGATCCACCCACCTCGGCCTCCCAAAGTGCTGTGATTACCGCACCTGGCCTTCTGAGGATTTTTTTTGAGCTGGAGTTTCACTCTTGTTGCCCAGGCTGGAGTGCAACGGCCCGATCTTGGCTCACTGCAACCTCTGCTTCCTGGGTTCAAGTGATTTCCCTGCCTCATTCTCCCAAGTAGCTGGGACTACAGGCACGGACCACCATGTCCAGCTAATTTTTGTAGTTTTAGTACAGACAGGGTTTTACCATGTTGGCCAGGTTGGTCTCGAACTCCTGACCTCAGGTGATCCACCTGCCTTGGCCTCCCAAAGTGCTGGTATTACAGGAGTGAGCCACTGTGCCCGGCTACATTCTTATTAATAAACAGATCTTGCTGGGTGCAGTGGCTCACACCTGTAATCCCAGCACTTTGGGAGGCCAAGAAGGGGGGATTGCTTAAGCCCAGGAGTTCTAGACCAACTGGGACAACATAGTGGGACCCCTGATCTCTACAAAAATATTAAAAATTAGTGGGGCATGGTGGTGTGTGCCTGTAGTTCCAGCTTCTTGAGAGGCTAACTTGGAAAGATGGCCTGAGCTCAGGAGGTTGTGGCTGCAGTGAGCCGTGATTGTGCAACCGCACTCCAGCCTGGGCAACGAGTGAGAGCTTGTCTCAACAAGAAACAAATTTAAAACGTTTTAAAAGTAAATGTATAGCCCTTAAAGTAAAACATTGTCTTCCTAGAAAATATTTCAAAATAGCCAAATATATAATCATCTAATAATTGGAAACCTTTAAAAGTCATATTTATTTAGAAGATAATATTAATTATAGACTTCCTTTAGGAAATACAATATTTATTGTGAAACTGTATTCTATAGTTCATAAAACCTTTGTAAAAAAAAAAACTCAGGCAGCTCATTTTTCATTCTATTCTGTTCTGCACAAAACGTTTTTGTAATATATCAAAATTGTATATCTATAAAAAAGGGCTGTATTTTTGTTTAGATGAATGGACAGATGTAATCCACACTCATTGCTTTAAGAGCAAGGAGCAGGCCAGGAGCAGTGGCTCATGCCTGTAATCCTAGCACTGGGGGGGCAAAGGCAGGCAGATCATCCGAGGTCAGGAGTTCAAGACCAGCCTAGCCAACATGGTGAAACCCCATCTCTTCTAAAAATACAAAAATTAGCCAGGCGTGGTGGCGCGCGCCTGTAGTCCCAGCTACTCTGGAGGCTGAGGCAGGAGAATTGCTGAAACCCAGGAGGCAGAGGTTACAGTGAGCCGAGATCCCAGACTGCACTCTAGCCTGGGGGACAGAGCAAGA